CCCCACCCGCGTGCTGATTACAGAGGCAGCGGCCGGCCGTCCTGTGACAGAGTGACCACCCAGGCCATCAAACGCCACGTGGAAAACCAACTGCGTCGGGTTTAAGGGCTGTTCGCTTGTGAGCCTACGCTACCTCCAAATTCATTTAAAAATCGCTTTGGTGGCTAAATCACCAGGTTAGCTGCAGGGGTCAAGGGCGGTGGGGGCGCTGGAGGGTGTTTGCCAAAAGCAAAACCTGACAGCAAGACAATGGCTGGTGATGAATTTAGAAGGTTCGATTTAAATGTTTTGTTCTAATGTTTATGGAACTGACTTACGTTCGGAGAGTCTAAAATAATATTCTGTAAGAAAATACTCAGGATATACTGCTAGGTGAAAGAAGCAGCTCGCAAAATTGAAACTTTTTTTTTATACACACGCACACGTGTAAATACATTAAACAGACTTGGTGCGATTGTGCACGGCTCTGCATGGGGACATCACAGTGGTAGGATTCTGCCTCTATATTTTTCGTACTCCCTAAACTTTTTAGTGTCCATATTATTTGTACACCTAGGGAAAATGAATTACTTAAAAAGAACATGCACAGTCTGCAGGAACCTTATGGACAAAAACAATGAAAAAATAAAAAGCCATCCCCACTATAACGGACAGGTTCTATTACACAAAAAGGAAACACTTCCCTATAAAATTAAAATCGGTAACCAGCTATATAAATTAAAATGCAAAAGAGAACATCTCCCCAGAACAACACAAGAGAAACCAGCAGTGGCCAGCAAAAAAGAGAAGGAACTTAGAAAACTAACTTGACTCTTGTGTACTTTTCCAGACTCTGCAGAATGTCCATTCCCACGTGGAGGTAGAAGGGATTCTTGGTGGCCTAGAGAGAACGAGAGACCGAGCTGGCAAAGGCCTGGAGGACGTGCCGCCAACACAGTCCACGGGGACTCCAGGAATTCGTGAGGAGATGAGTCACTGGGCAGAGGAGGCACAGGGCCCGGTTTGGTCTATCCTGAGGGGTCATGAGCACTGGGAGACTGAGGTGCTGGTCACTTCGCATCAGAACAGCCTGACACGGGGCGAGGGAGCCAGCGCTGAGGGGCTGCTCCAGGCGGACAGTGCCCTCCTTTGGCCTTCCTGGCTCCTGTCACCACCAGCAACGAGGCGATGACTTGCTGACACGCCACATCCGAGAACAGATCCAGTTTCTCTCTTGCCCTGGAACTCTCTAGAACCTCAGCTTCAGACGCAGAGAAACAGGACCTTGCCCCATGCCCCTCACTGCACTGCGAGGGAAGAGGGACAGGGACAGGAGACTCACAAGTCCCCACAGCAGGTGACCCTCCGCCTTCCTCTCTGATCGCCCCAAGAGCTCGGTCCTTGGGGTGCTTCCTCTGCTGTCACCTGCTCTTAGATGGTTTTGTTACGAAAAAAAAAATTCTCTGGGAAGATGAGACTTTACCCCACGAAGAGTTTAAGAGCTGGGGACTGTCTTTAATTCACGCCTATTCCAACTTGCCGCAGCAAAAGCCCAGCGCGGGGGTGGCTGAGTCTGGACTGAGCACGGGTTGAGGGGGGATGTGGCAGGGGCAACACGGGGAAGCGGGGGCCTCTCTGGAGTCTAAGAAAAGAGTCAACGTGAGGCAGATGCTGAAAACAGGAAAGAAGCAGAGACAGGAAGAAGGAGCATCAGCCCTAAGGCACCAGACTAGGCTTGGGAGGGGGCTCGGGCAGTGCCAGGCGCGCGGTCCCTGGGGCGAGCCCGGCCTGACCGTGCTGCTCTTGGGGGCGGCCGGAGGGCAGCACCTCCTTCGTTGTAGATGTCACGTAAAGCTCCCGAGGCCTCGCTGCAGGCCCGAGGAGTATGACCAGTCTCATGGGTCACTCCCCTTTCCATCTAGAAGCGAAGGACAAGGATTCAGGATTAAAAAAGTATTGAATAAATCTAAGCTGCGGTACTAACCCTAGTGCCAACCTCAAAAAACTCGGGACGTCTTTGCCACGGCCTGCCCGGCTGCGCGGGGGCCGGGGTCTCGGAAGCTGGGTGCCCGTGCTGCCGTGCCGGTGGGTGACGAGGACGCTCAGTGGCAAATATGTGCGGCAGGCACAGGGGACCGTATCTGCCTTCGACTACGGGGAGAAGACGTCACCGTTAAAGTGACATTCCCTCCGGCTACAACGTCATTTCGCAAAAGACGAACACTATTTTTTAAGCATCAAACAAAAAGAGGCATTCGAATGATTTCCTTTACAATCGCGAAAAAGAATTTCTCTGTCTGAATGATTATTACACAGACCCGAGTTCCACAGTACATGGAACTGCACCCAAAATGAGTTCTTTGGTCGAATAACTTGGGGAAACGCTGAGTGCCAGGTCGATCTCGACTATAAGGATGAGAGAAATAAGCCCTATAGTAAAAAGACAGATTCGGTTCACAGAACATTAGGTTAAAAAATGTTCGCGAGTTTGGCGAAACACGGCAGAGTGAGAGACGCCCCCAGATCTCTCCCCTTGAAACAACACGCTGAACATCGAAACTCAACAAAAACACCCAAAGCGCACCCAGCACGTCAGAGCGTGGGGCCTGCCCGCAGGGCTAGCAGACGGCCTGAAGAGCTGGCGTTTGAAGAGACAGAAGCCATGCTGCAGGCCCCGTCAGACGTTCGGATTTTTGGGGATGTCGAAACTGTGCTAGGCCACTCTTATTTCATACTTAGGTTAATTAAATGGTCCACTTAAAAAAAAAGTCACGTGACCGCAGACGCCTCCCCTGTCCTGTGGAACCGCGAATGACGCTGACACGGAGACGAGCGCGGACAGGCGGTCACCCTGTCCGAGGCCCCGCACCGATCAGCAGACGTCCCCCGAGACCAGCCGCACGCTCTCCCGCACCTGGTAGAGCAGATAGGTCGACTCCACCAGCTCCGGCCTCAGCGGGTAGAACAGCACGTCGGGGGCCTGCAGCTGCCAGTTATACCTCTCCGGGAGCGCCCCGTACCGCTTCCAGATGGCGTAGTAAAAGGCATGCAGGCAGATGGCATCCTCCACGTCGCCCATCAGGACCTGCGGAAGAGACGCGGGTCACCGGGCTGCAGGCACCTTTCCCAGGGTGGCGAGCTGTGACACGAAGGCTCTCCCTCTACCCGCCCCGCTCCCCCGGGTCGGAGGCAAAACCAGCCCCGAAGCAGAGACCCGACTGGCTGTCAGTGTGGGCGGATGTGAGTGGCACGGGACAAGGGTGAGCTGTGCTCAGGAACAGGAAGAGACGGCCAAGCGAGGGGGGCGGGGGATCCCCTCGAAGGACCCGCGGCCACTGTTCAGGCTCTGCGCTTATTTACCACGGCTCTGTCCAACGCCCTGGGCACTAACTCCCCAAACAGAACAACCCAGAGATACTGTCTACAACCTCCCAGATGCAAAGGAGCCAGAAGGCGTGGACATCATGAAGCCCCCGCCAGAGCTCTGCTGGGCGACACGGGGCCGGGTACCTGCAGCCCGGGGAAGAAGGCCTGTAGGGAGTCGATCCACGTGTTCATCAGCTGCCCGCTGAACATGTTCACATTGACGTACAGCGGGGGGTCCCCTTCTCCCTCGTTGCAGGCTTCCCGGCTGAGGCCCGGCGTGGGGCGAGAGAGAGAGGAAAGGTCACCGGCTGCCCAGCTCTCCCCCGTGGGCAGCCTGGTTCTTTCTGCACGAGGGGAAGGCTCTTCTCCCAGAAGCTCCCACAGAGGAACAGCAGAGCAGGAGGACAGAGGCCGCTGCTCAGTTCAGTTCAGGGCTCTAAGTACAGACGACCGGCCTCTGGCCAGGTGGCCGGTCAGCGCGGCACGGCACTCACACGGGTGGCCCCCACAGCGGCCAGCGTGGCAATGGGTCCAGGAACTCCTGTCCTGCAGGAAGCTCAGGAGCCACACCTGCAGTGGCCATTTCATGTGCAAAAGTGCACAAAGAAAGGTCTGGGGGGAGGTGACGGCAGGTGGAAGCCACCGCAGCCACCATCTGAATGGACAGTGAGCAGCAGCTAACACTGCTGTTTCAAACAGAAGGAAAAATGTGGTGACTGTCCTTTCCCTCCTCAGGTACAAAGCCCAATCCTAACAATTCTTTGGGAAACAAAAGAACCAAAATAACTCAATAAGTGTCCTGTGTTACGGCTCTGTCTACAATGAAAGCCACAGGTAAACACAGGGATGCACGGCACGCCCTGCAGCAGCCGGTCTCGAAGACGGCCCCCCAGGACCCCAGCCGCTGGGCAGTCTTGCCCCCGTGGAGTCCCCCTGCTCACTGTATCAGGGTCCATCTGTGTGACCGAGAGAGTCAGGCAGAGTGTTGGTTCGTCACTGAGATTAGGTCATGGAGGCGCGTGGCTTCCATTTTGGTCTGTTTCTTTCTCAGATCACTCACTAGGGGCGAAGCTGCCACTAGCCGCCTACCAAGAAAGAGGCCCACGGAGCCGAGCCCTGCGGCCAGCAGCCAGTGAGTGGGTGAGGCCTGCCAGTCCCAGGGGCGTGAGCCGGGCAGTGCGTCCTCCAGCCTCGACTCAGCCTCGACACGGCTGTGGCCTGAGGACCACCTTGTGAGACTCCGATCCACTCAGCAGCTCCTGGCTTCCTGCCCCTCGGAAACACGCCTGTTTTACACGCTAGGTTTGGGGGCGATGTTATGCAGCAGAAGATAGCTAATACACCTCTTCACCCCCAAAAGACTGACAAACAACTAAGGGGTGGTCGGGTGATGGCAGAGACCAGCAGGCCCTGCGGGTCCACGCTGAGAAAAATACGATCGTTTCCGAATGCATTCTACCGGCGTTACAGGGCGGTCAGGGACGCGAAGGGGACCTACCCTCGTCTCAGGTGGTTCTGAATACTCTGATATGCAGCATTAAACATTTCCAGGTCTTCTTCTTCTCCGAAGAGAATGTAAGATTTCAAGAGGTACTCATAGAAAGAGTCCAGTCCGGCTCCCAGCCCGCTCTGCTTCCCGACCCAGCGGCCGGTCTGAATGTCCACAACGTTGCCTGTGAAGACAGAGCACGTCGGTCCCCGTTACCTGTGTGGCAGGCGGGCCTCCTACTGCCGCCCACTGCACTTCGTCACCCGCGTCCTCGTAGGAAGAGGCAGAAAAGCTCTGTCAGTTCTGACAGCGGCAGGGACAGCCAGGAGACCTTTCTGAGTATGTGGTGTTTAACCGCCGATGCGGGGAAAACGTTCGAGGCAAAAGAAAACCAGGTTGTCATCCTGCTTTTCCGGATGGACAGTGCATTTCAAAAGCCGAGAGTGTTTACAGCTTTTGACTCAGTACTGCCGTTCCTGGGAATGTATCCTAAAAAATGTTAAGCATTATGTTGTTCTTCAGGTAATTATAAGTTACATAGCTGACATTATCTGTAAAATGGAAAAAAAAAGCCCAGAAATCATCCGGGTATCCAAC